CGAGTCTGAGCGCCTACTCGCCGAGTCCCTCTCTAAAATTCAATATAAATACTTAAAATAAGATACCTGGGAATCCGGATGTTACAGATCGTTTCGGCTAGAAATCACTCGATCTCATATTCGAACTTCGGGCTGCATACTGCTAATGCTGAAACTTCGAAAAATCATAACTTCCTCATACAAAGTCAGATTTAGACGTTCTTTTTATGCACGCTCTCGGTTTAACGTATTCTACGACTTTCATTTAGATCACTAAGGCAAAATATCGCTCTAACGTAAATTCACTATTTACGTCGTGCTGTGTCGTGCCGGTTCTGTCGCGAAACTTAGACAGGTCATAACTTCTTCGTTATAACTCGGATTTCGGCGTTCTTTATATGTACGGAATCCTTGTAACATATACTATACCTTAGTTAAGGTTAATCCTTCTAAATAATCTTCCATCAAAAAGTCATTTTTGATGCTTATCGTCTCTAAATTGACTAGCCCGGATCTACGGGCGTTACAATTATCTCCCCCTTAGGATGATTACGTCCCGGAATCATCAACGAAAATAGGACTTGTGTAATGATTCCATATGCTATCTCTTCATCCTAGGTAATAACCGTAACTTCTATGTTTCCTCGAAAGAGTATTTAACTCTATGGCTTTCTTGACCGCAGACGATGCCCAATCTTGCATCTGCTTATCGTACTATGTTGTACTTTCAATCGTAACCTTCGAGTTACCAAATAAGTCCTTATTGTGGACTCCTTCTCCTTCTTAGGATAAATACTTTCCTTTATCTATTGTAACAGACCGATGAGTCGTGCTCTATTGACCTCTCATTGCACGATGCGACGCTTAGACTCGGTCTTTTTAAAGTTAAATTCCAGAATGGAATATACCTTCCTTCATATTCTAATGTGATATAATCACATTTCAGCATGTAGCATTTCTACCTGTAAAACTTCTTTCAACAACGAGCGCGATACTATCGATCGCATTAATTTCAACGTTCTGACTTAAGTCAGATGTTACATCTAACTTGGTCCTCTAGACCACGTAACATACTCATCGCAGTCGAACTCAAATTTATATGACCACTAGGGTCGGAATAACAACCATCTCACTAATCATTACCGAAACAAGGGTAATGACATACTCGAATAAAACGAAATCAATCACCAGCTTCTTGGTAACCTTGTGACTTTCCCTGATCCAAGTGCGAGTGTTGTGCTTCCGGTAGTATATGCATCTACTACCTTTCACACCTACTCATACTCGTCCTAAGTATTGTCTCGCAGTCCCCAAGTCCTAAAATCACAAAACAATTTAACACATACGAATGTGTCCAAATAATCATAAACAATTTCCCTAGACTCTACTAGGACTTCTTCATTGCGTATCTTCAATCATCAATTCTACTTCAACTCGATTGGTGATGGAAATATCGGGTTGTTTCACAATTGATGCCACCTAGGACACCGCAGCTCAATGGTGTGGCTGAGAGGCGCAATCGAACCTTGTTGGACATGGTTCGTTCCATGATGAGTCGAGCTTTGTTACCTATCTCATTTTGGGGGTATGCCTTAGAGACTGCCTCCCATATCCTTAATCTAGTCCCAATTAAGAAGGTTGCCAAAACACCTCACGAGATGTGGAGAGGGAAGGTTCCCTCGTTGGCACATATCAATGTTTGGGGTTGCGAAACTTTCGTAAGACGAGAGAGTCACAAAAAACTTGAACCTCGCAGTGAGTGGTGTATTTTCATCGGCTGCCCATAGAAATCTTTTGGATATCTCTTTTACAGACCGAGTGACAATTTTATCTTCGTTGCGAGGAGAGGGGTTTTTCGTGAGATAGAACTCATATGCCAAGAGGACAGTGGGAGGCAGATTGATCTTGAAGAGCTTCAAGAATCAAGCGATGAAGGAACCTCTAACACTAGCACTCAACATGAGGAAGAGATTCCTATTAAACCAGTTGACGAGTCCTTACCTCTAAGATGTTCCAGTAGAGTTAGCATCCGCATGTGTTGTATGGTTTCCATATAACAGCTGAAGGTGATACGTTTTTCAGTGATAGTACACTGACAAAATTTGGATGAACCTAACAACTACAAGGAAGCAATGGCGGGCCCCGAGTCTGCAAAATAGAAAGAGGCTATGGACAACGAGATTCAATCCATGTATGACAATCAAGTTTGGAACTTGGTTGGCAGTGTACCGGGTCGCAAGACAGTCGGTTGGAAGTGGATCTTCAAAAAGAAGACCGATATGGATGGGAAAGTGCATACGTTAAAGGCACGATTGGTTGCGAAGGGCTTTACTCAAACCCCTGGGGTTGACTATGATGAGACCTTCTCACCAGTGGCCAAGATCAAGTCTATTAGGGTTATGTTGGCTATCGCTGCATTTCATGATTATGAAATTTGGCAGATGGATGTCAAAACCGCTTTTCTTAACAGGAAGCTGGCTGAAGATGTTTACATGTGTCAGCCAAAAGGTTTGTGGATACCAAATACCCCAATAGAGTGTGCAAGCTTGAGAAATCCATTTACGGATTGAAACAAGCGTCTCGCAGATGGAATCTTTGTTTCGATGACAAAGTCAAAGAGTTTGGTTTTTCGAGAAGCGAGGATAAGTCCTATGGGTATGTCAAGGCTAGTGGGAGTATAGTTAGCTTTCTAGTTTTGTATGTTGATGACATAATGCTCATAGGAAACGACATCCCTGTTGGATAAGGTGTCTAGGTCCGTAACTATATTTTGTATGTACTTGACCCGACCCGGCATGGTCCATTTGGGTTGGACTTCACCGAAACAATTTGTATGGATAATCTTTTGAGAATAGTATATTTATGATTTATTAATATATTATTAGTTATAATATATTAATATGAAATCATATTATTTAATTAGTATTGATCAAGAATTAATTTAGAACTAATTTAGTGATCAAAAGGAACTAATTAAATATGGACTCTTGTATATATATATTATATATATATATATAATATATATATTATAATATATAATATATATATATATATATATATAGAAAGGGCCAAGTTCACTTAGGATGGGCTAAGCTTGCATGGATAGTCCATGGAGTTTTTAACCCATGGATCCTATGGAAATGAAAGGTCATGGGTATTAGGGTTTACATGAATGTAACCCTAATCCTCCATACTATATAAAGAGGTCTTTGGCACATGAAATGACACTAGTGTGCGAGTAAAAAAGAGTGGGTCGATTTCTAGAAGTGCTTTCTATTCTCTCACGTCTTCCAAGGTGTTTTGGTAATTTGTGATTCCATTTGAGGCATCCACATTATTGGTGCTAAGCTCTCAAGACTCCAAGCAATCAACCACAAGAAAAGGTATGTTATTCTACTAAGGTTTTTATATTACAAGTACCCCATAACATGCTAGTTAGGTTGAGAACCTTGGAAAATCAATTTTTCATGTATAATAGAGAAAACATAGATCCAAGGTTTCTAGGGTTGCATGTACACCATAGGAGTGTTAGAATGCTCAAAACCCATCAGTGGTATCAGAGACTACGCTTGTTTTCATTATACTTGATGCAAAATGCTTAAAAAAGGCGAAAAATTATTCACTGTTCAGTGGACTCGCCGAGTCCATGGGGGGACTCGACGAGTCCAAGTGTAAACTCATCCTACTTGTCGAGTAGGTTCTTGCACTCGGCGAGTAGGAGGCCCTGTGTGTAGATTTTCGAGTTTTGCTGCTGGAAATGGACTAGAATCATTACCCTAAACTGTTTTGGACTTATAAAACCTGTTTTTGATGTGGTAATGATTATGCTAAGCCATTTTCAATAGTTATTATCAAATTTTCAAGTTTTATATATGTTTATATGATTCTTGAAATTGTTGATATGAATGTTCATACTTATGAGTTTTAGTAGATCATAGGAATTATTTGCAAATTGTTTGTTAGTGTAATTCTTGATCTAAATGCCAATTATTGGACTCCATAACTTGTCTTCAAGTTATGGAATTCCAAAAGTCTTTTCTTTAAAACCATTAAAACTCATAAGTTATAGAAATGAAAAGTCTTGAATAGTTTCAAAACTTGACCTCAAGTCTTGGAATTTGTAAAGTCTCACACACACTTTAATTCCAAACCCTAGAGTTTTAAAAGTTAAAATTCAACCCTTATACTTTATAGTAATATAAGTTAATAATATATATATATATATATATATATATATATGTATAAGATCAAGTCAGTCTTACCGTTAGTAGGCCTCATTCACGAAGTCGGTCTATAAGGGGGGTATAAGGTTGTTGCCTATAAAATGGCAGCTTAATGGGTGTCCACTCTCACCCACCGCTTCCTTGACTGGTGGAGGGTCGTTAGCCAAACGGGTAGGACAAGGACTATAATTCTCATTAAAATTATAATGATAAATATAAAGTAACTAAACCTTTTATAAATTCCCAATCTTAGTTACTTTAGGAAAATGTGAAATTGGTGCTAACCCATGAAATTAAACTTTGTACCTTACCAAGTCGTTGGTGGAGCGTGTGTGGGTAACCGACAAACTAACATGGACTAGTAAGAGTGGAAAAGGGTGACTTAATGTTTATCATAGATCGGTGGAGCGCGTGTGGGTAACCGGCACATTGATTAGGTGATAAAGATTAAGGGTATCAAGTTAATTTGCATGGTTATTCACACCTTGTTTATGATCCTCAGCATCCCAGTCACAAACTTGAAAGGGCACAATCGAGATTTAAACATGCCATTGAAAATTTCAATGAATCTCAAAAGATCTAGGAGTTTCAATCCACTTAAAACCTAATACTATTTCGTTTTTCATGGTGGAAATTGGTGAATCGTCATTCACCTACCTTCAAATATCTTATAGCTTGCATTACGGCATCCCTCTTCCAAGTTATAAAGTATTATGTTGGGTCCTAGCCTTAATATTACATTTGGGTGTCTTATTAAGGATTCTATATCTAATATAAACTTGTCTTTCTTCTTTTCAGATGTCTTCCAACAATGGTGCTTCTGACTCAAACCCTACCGACTCCTTCTCTCTCATGAACCTTTGTGGGAGAGTCATCTTTGATGGTTCAAACTTTAATGATTGGATCAGGAACATCAGGATGGTCACGCGTTACGAGGACAAGGAATATGTCCTCGACAAGGAGCTGAAAGAAATTGATGAGGCTACTGCTACTCCACGGGAGATCGCTGACTTTAGGGCACATGAGAGAGATGCCACCAAGGTGGCATGTATCATGTTGGCCACAATGACAGTTGAACTCCAGAAGTCCTATGAGGACTTTTACCCTTTTGAGATGCACATGGACCTGATGGACCGCTACCATCAGAGTGCTCGTCAAGAGAGGTATGAAATCATCTCTTCCATGATAACAACCCGAATGAAGGATGGTGAATCCATCACGGGCCACATGCATAAAATGCAAAGGTTTGTGGACCGTTTGTTGAAGTTGAATGTGAACTTCCCTGAGGAGTTGGCTATTGATATCATACTGCACTCCTTACCTACTTGTTATGATCAATTCCGTATGACCTATCACATGAACAAGGAGGAGGTCACACTCAGCAAGCTTCAAGGACTTTTGAAGACCGTCGAAAGTGGTCTCAAAGGTAAATCGGTTGTTACTACTCCTACTCCTAACATCGCCCTTGTTCTGGCAATCGGGAAAAGTAGAGGGAAGAAGAGGAAGACCCCTTTGAAGGGTACCAAGGGAAAGTCTCTTGATGGCTCTTCTTTTAGTGGAACCAAAGGTGGTTCTGTCACTCCTTCTTCAAACCCAAAGGAAGTTGAATACTTCTATTGTCATGATAAGGGGCACTGGAAACGAAACTGCCCCAAGTACCTGCAAGATGTTAAGGATGGGAAGGTCAAACCTACCCATGCATGTATTTACACTATATTGTCTAATAACTCACCTCATACTAATTCTTGGGTCCTTGATACAGGTTGTGGTATTCATATATGTTCTGATTTGCAGGGCCTAAGAAGAATGAGGATGTGGAGCACGGAAGGATAAACTTGATCATGGGGAATAGGAAAGCTTCACCTGTCACCAAGATTGGAGTTTATTCTTTGTTGCTAAGTAGTGGGTTAGTGTTAAATTTGAATAAGTGTTATTACTCGTCTGAAATGGCGAGAAATATTATTTCTTTTCACGGTTTGTACAAACAAGGATTTACTTTTTCATTTGATAATGAATGTGGTGGTATTAATGCTTTTTATAATAATGTTCTTTATTTTTAAGCATTACCTTATGATGGTGTATATGAAACTGTGTCGGTTGTAGACAACTTAGGAAATAATGTGTTGCATATCGATTCTTCCACTAGTTTGGATAAGGCATCATTGTGGCACTATCGTCTTGGACATGTCAACAAGAAGCGCATAGGCCAACTCCAAAAGGCTGGAGTCATTTGACTTAAAGTCGGATGATAGTTGCGAGTCTTGTTTACTTGGAAAAATGACAAAGTCACCCTTCACTGGTACTTGTGCTAAGGGTGAAGGTTTGTTGGACCTCATACACACAGATATGTGTGGACCCTTCAGAACCGCCACTAGGGATGCTAACAGCTTCTATGTGACTTTTACTGATGATTACAGTAGATATGGTTATGTCTACTTAATCAAGCATAAGTCGAAAACCTTTGAAAAGTTCAAAGAGTTTAAACAGGAAGTGGAGAATCATCTGGGCAGGAACATTAAGATGCTCCGATCCGATTGCGGAGGAGAGTATCTTAGTACAAAGTTCCTTGACTATCTTAAGGAATGTGGAATTGTTTCACAATTGATACCTCCCAGAACACCACAACTTAATGGTGTGGCTGAGAGGCGCAATCGAACCTTGTTAGACATGGTTCGTTCCATGATGAGTCGAGCTTCGTTACCAATCTCATTATGGGGGTATGCCATAGAGACTGCCGCCCATATCCTTAATCTAGTCCCTACCAAGAAAGTTGCCAAAACACCTCAGGAGATGTGGACTAGGAAAGTTCCCAATTTAGACCACATCAAGATTTTGGGTTGCGAGGCTTTCGTGAGATGTGAGACTCAGGAAAAGATCGAACCTCGTAGTGAGCGGTGTATTTTCATCAGCTACCCACAAAAATCCTTTGGTTACCTCTTCTACAGACCCAGTGAGAATGTGGTCTTTGTGGCAAGGAGAGGGGTCTTTCGTAAGAGAGAATTTATAAACCAAGGAAACAGTGGGAGGCAAATTGACCTTGAAGAGCTTCAAGAGTCAAGTGGTGAAGGAACCTCGAACCCTAGCAATCAACTTGAGGAGGTAAATCCTGTTGAACCAACTGACAAGTCTGTACCTCTGAGGCGTTCCACTAGAGTTAGGAATACACCTGACCATTACTATGGTTTCCATATTACTGCGGAAGGTGATACATTTATCAGTGATAGTACAGTGGTAAATTTGGACGAACCTAACAGCTATATGGAAGCCATGGCAGGCCTTGAGTCTGCTAAATGGAAAGAGGCTATGGACAACGAGATTCAGTCCATGTATGACAATCAAGTTTAGAACTTGGTTGACAATGTACCAGGTCGTAAGACGGTCGGGTGCAAATCGATCTTCAAGAAGAAGACCGACATGGATGGGAAAGTGCACACTTATAAGGCGCGACTGGTTGCGAAGGGGTTCACTCAAACTCAGGGAGTTGATTATGATGAAACCTTCTCACCAGTAGCAAAGATTAAGTCTATTAGGGTTATGCTAGCCATTGCTGCATTTCATGATTATGAAATATGGCAAATAGATGTCAAAACCGCTTTCCTTAATGGAAAGTTGGCTAAGGATGTTTACATGAGTTAACCAGAGGGTTTTGTCAGTGTAGAGTACCCTGATAGAGTGTGCAAGCTTGAGAAATCCATTTATGGATTGAAACAAGCATCTCACAACTGGAATCTTTGTTTTGATGAAAAAGTCAAAGAGTTTGGTTTTTCGAGAAGCGAAGATGAGTCTTGTGTATATGTCAGAGCTAGTGGGAGTATAGTTAGCTTTTTGGTACTGTATGTGGATGACATACTACTCATAGGAAATGACATCCCAACTTTGCAAAAGGTTAAGTCCTGGCTTGGGAAGTGTTTCGCTATGAAGGACCTTGGAGAAGCTGCCTATATCCTAGGGATAAGGATATTGAGAGAAAGGAGTAAAAGACTAATTGGACTTAGTCAAAGCACCTATGTGGACAAAGTGTTGAAAAGGTTCAACATGCAGAATTCCAAGAAAGGTGACTTACGGATCTAGCATAATGCCAAAATGAGCAAGGCTCAGAGCCCGAGTACACAGGCCGAGATAGCTGAGATGAGTCGATTACCATATGCTTCCGTTGTTGGCTCGATCATGTATGCTATGACTTGTACCCGCCCTGCTGTGGCCTTTGCTATGAGCATGGTCAGCAGATATCAGGGGAACCCTGGCAAGGCTCATTGGACTGCGGTGAAGAACATTCTCAAGTACCTGCGGAGGACTAAGGACTGGGTCCTTACCCTTGGTGGAAGTGATAACTTGAGAGTAGTGGGGTATACTGACGCTAGCTTTCATACTGATAGGGATAATTTTCGCTCTCAGTCGGGCTGGGTCTTTACCATGAATGGAGGAGCAATTACTTGGAAAAGTTCCAAACATGAGACAGTAGCTGATTCGACATGTGAATCAAAGTACATAGCATCAAGTGAAGCGGCGAAGGAGGCGATATGGCTGAGGAACTTCATCGGAGACCTTGGAGTTGTACCAGCTATAACGGAGCCTATGGAGATTTTCTGTGACAGCAATAGTGCGGTTGCCTTAGCCAAGGAACCGAGAGATCATGGTAGATCCAGACACATTGACAGAAAATATCACTTCATAAGACACAAGATAGAAGGACTCCTCGTGGCAAAGAGGGTATCATCAGAAGAGAACCCAGCAGATCCCCTCACGAAAGGACTGACTAGGGTTAAGCATTTGCAGCATGTGAGGTGCATCGGGCTGAAGGACGATATTAGTTTTACAGATTAGATAGCTATTTCTGAAACTTGTAAAATGTAATTGACATTTGATGATTAAATAAAAGTTGTTGTTTATTTATAAGTAAGGTGTTGTTATCTTATGTCAATTGTTTACTATTGTTTCAATTTTGCATGTTTTGACTTCCAGAATAATTACTTTATTCAAACTCTCCACAGTCATTCATATGTTGGAAGTAGGTATGAATCAAGACTGTCATGAATTGGGCTTGTAGATGTCTAAGGTGTTAGACATAGCAAAAGTTGCTACAACATTCATGAGTGCTCATAAGTTCTGAGTATTGGATTAAACCCACGCTCACTTGTATCACTTCATGGAATTTATCTCGAGTGATCGTGAGACGGTAATATCATATAAGTCTTCAAACCTAGAGATATGAGTTGTTGCCTATGAGTTGGTTGTGCATTGATTGTATGAAAACGCATCAGTAACTTGATGTTATAAAACGTGCCTTTGTGTATGATTCAACAAGTAGTAGAACAAGCATATGAGTCGAAGTTTATATGTTCCTTTTAGTCCTTGGAGGATTAAAAGCGATATATGGGCCCCTCGATATTTTGTTTTGACCTATGTGTCGGGCCCGGTCATAACCAAATTGATATGTTCAGTTTAGTTCTATGTCAAACAAATCGGAAATCGGGAAACAAACTGTTGGACAATAAGTACGACGTTGTTCTATGTATTTGTCTGGCTGATATCTAGAACAGAGGATTATATGATCACTTATCTAAAATTGCACTTCATAGTTCAACAGAGTTTTAAGAGCTACGATTGCTGGTTGGTTCCTGAAGTCATACTTGCAACTATAGTTATCAGACTTATCCAAGTGGGAGACTGTTGGATAAGGTGTCTAAGTCCGTAACTATATTTGGTATGTACTTGACCCGGCCCGACATGGTCCATTTGGGTTGCACTTCACCGAAACAATTTGTATGGACAATCTTTTGAGAATAGTATATTTATGATTTATTAATATATTATTAGTTATAATATATTAATATGAAATCATATTATTTAATTAGTATTGATCAAGAATTAATTTAGAACTAATTTAGTGATCAAAAGGAACTAATTAAATATGGACTCTTATATATATATATATATATATATATATATATATATATATATATATATATATATATATAGAGAGAGAGAGAGAGAGAGAGGGGGGGGGGGGAGAGTGAGAATGGGCCAAGTTCACTTAGAATGGGCTAAGCTTGCATGGATAGTCCATGGAGTTTTTAACCCATGGATCCTATGGAAATGAAAGGTCATGGGTATTAGGGTTTACATGAATGTAACCCTAATCCTCCATACTATATAAAGAGGTCTTTGGCACATGAAATGACACTAGTGTGCGAGTAAAAAAGAGTGGGTCGATTTTTAGAAGTGCTTTCTATTCTCTCAAGTCTTCCAAGGTGTTTTGGTGATTTGTGATTCCACTTGAGGCATCCACATTATTGGTGCTAAGCTCTCAAGACTCCAAGCAATCAACCACAAGAAAAGGTATGTTATTCTACTAAGGTTTTTATATTATAAGTACCCCATAACATGCTAGTTTGGTTGAGAACCTTGGAAAATCAAATATACATGTATAATAGAGAAAACATAAATCCAAGGTTTCTAGGGTTGCATGTACACCATAGGAGTGTTAGAATGCTCAAAACCCATCAATCCCGACCTTGCAGGAGCTTAAGACCTGGCTTGGGAAGTGTTTCACTATGAAGGATTTAGGAGAAGCTGCTTATATTCTAGGGATAAGGATATTGAGAAATGGAAGTAAGAGACTAATAGGACTTAGTCAAAGTACTTACTTGGACAAGGTACTGAAACGTTTTAGCATTGAGAACTCCAAGAAAGGGGACTGCCGATCCAAAGCAATACCAAGCTGAGTAAGACTCAGAGCCTGAGTACCGATGCCGGGATAGTGGAAATGAGTCAAGTACCATAGGCTTCCGCAGTTGGCTCGATCATGTACGATATGACATGTACCCATCCTGATGTGGCTTTTGCACTGAGCATGGTTAGCCGATATCAAGGGAACCCGGGTAGAGCTCATCGGACCGCAGTAAAGAACATTCTTAAGTTCTTGCGAAGGACTAAGGACTGGTTTCTTACCCTTGGTGGGAGTGATGACTTGAGAGTGACAGGGTATAGTGATGCCAACTTTCAAACCGACAGAGATAACTTCCGCTCTCAGTCGGGCTGGGTATTTACCCTGAATGGAGGGGCAGTCACTTGGAAGAGTTCCAAGCAGGAGACTGTGGCCGATTCAATGTGCAAATCAGAGTACATAGCAGCGAGCGAAGTTTCAAAGGAGGCAGTATGGTTGAAGAACTTCATTGGAGACCTCGGAGTTGTACCAGCCATAAGGGAGCCTATGGAGATTTTCTGTGATAACGAAGGAGTGGTTGCCTTAACCAAGGAACCGAGGGATCATGGTAGATCCAGACACATCGACAGAAAATACCACTTCATCAAACATCGGGTAGAAGAGGGACTCCTCTTAGTAAAGAGGGTATCGTCAGAGGAGAACCCAACAGATCCCCTCACAAAGGGCCTGAGCAGGGTTAAGCACTTACAGCATGCGAGGAGCATTGGTCTGAAGGACGATATTAGTTTTAGTGATTAGATAGTTGTTTAGAAACTTGTAATAGAGAAAATGTAATTGACATTTGATGATTAAATAAAGAAGTTTTATTTATGAGTAAAGTTTACTATCTTGTGTCAATTGTTTACTATTGTTTCATTTTGCATGTTTTACTTCCATAATAATTAGATTGTTCACATTATCCACAGTTAATCATACTTTGGGAGTAAGTTATGATGTTAGACTGTCATGAATTGGTTTGTAGATTGTCTAAGTGTTTAGACATAAAAAAGGTTTGTTGCAACATTCATGAGTGCTCTTGAAATAAGATTTGAGTATTGGATTAAACCCACGCTCATTTGAATCACTTCATGGAAGTCATCACAAGTGATTGTGAGACGATAATATCGTATAATATTTAAACCGAGATATATGAGTTATTGTTTACAAGTTGGTTGTGTATTGATAATGCGTAAACGCATCAGTAACTCGATGTTATAAAACGTATTGTTGTGTGTGATTTGACGAGTAAATAGTACGAGCATATAAGTAAAATTTTATCTGTTCCTTTTATCCTAGGAGGGTAAAAGCAATATCTTGGGCCCATCGATGATTTTGTGTTGACTTATGTGTCAGGCCCGGTCAAGACTGAATTGATGTGTTCAATTAAGTTCTATGTCAAACAAATCAGAAGTCGGGAAACAAACTATTGGACATTAAGAATGATTATGTTCCATGTCATTGTCCACACAATATCTTACAGAACGGAGGATTATATGATCCCTTATCTAAAGGACGCGCCATTGACTAGGTCAGAGTTCGACAACGGCTTTTGAGAGCTATGATTGCTAATCGGATTTTGAATTCATACTTGCAGTTATAGTTATTAGACTTATCCAAGTGGCAGGCTGTTGGATTAGGTGTCTAAGCCCATAACTATAATTGGTATGTACTTGACCCGATAGTAGCATGGTCCTTTTGGGTTTCCTTCACCATAGCAATTTGATAGGATGAATTATAGAAAAAGAGGTTAATAATGATTTATTAATATATTATAAGAATAATATATTAATTGAGAAATCATATTAACTAATTAGTGTTGATCAGAAATTAATTTGGCGATCAAAAGAGACTAATTAAATTACGGGGACTGATATTATATGATAGTTGCATGTTGGGCTTATGGATCCCTAGGAAGGGGTGGACGAAATTCTATGTGTATCCCACATAGAATTCGTCCAAAGGAGGCCTTCTGGAAGGATCTACTGGACTGCTTAAGGCTTAAGCAATCAGATTAGGGTTTTACCAGAAACCCTAGCAGCTTATCTATATAAGGAACCCTTTGGAGCCCTGAAATCGGCCACTTGATCCTTAGAGAAAACCCTAGCCAATTTTAGAGCCTCCTAATCTCTCTCATATTCTTCCAATTGCTACTTGGTGTTTGTGACTCATTAGAGGTGCAACAATTGAGGCACTAAGCTCTTGAAGGTCAAGATCTACAAGCTACAAGGAAAAAGTATTCTTCTAACTTTGTTTTATGTTATAAATCTCGAAAATTGTATGCTAGATAGGGTTCATGCTTTGGATGATTAGTATTGCATGTATAACTTGAGAAAAACCTAGATCCAAAGCATTAGGGTTGCATGTCCACCATAGGAATGATGTAGTGCTCAAAACCCATCAGAAACGTCTCTGCTTCGCAACCGGCTCTACTCACACCCTATACATAATATCCTTTTGGATACCATTCCATACTCAAAACCCCCTTCATGGGTAAACCTTGGTCAAAGTCAAAGTCAATGTCAAAGTCAACGTCCAGTTCAGTCAAGTCAAAGTCAACCCTGAGTTGACTCTGTTGGATTAGTGTCTAAGTCCATAACTATTTTGGTATGTACTTGATGCGATTATGAGCATGGTCCTTTTGGGTTGCCTTCACCATAGCAATATGTAGGATGAATTAAGGAGAGAAAGGTTTAAATATGATTTATTAATATATTATGAGAATAATATATTAAAGGAGAAATCATATTGTTTAATTAATATTAGTTAAGAATTAATTAAGAATTAATTTAGTGTCTAAAAGAGATTAATTAAACTTAGGGGACTTGATTTGTAATTATAAGATAATTGCAATTGGGCTATGGATTACCTAAATAATATAGGTTGGACGAATTCTATGGGAAGCCCATAAGGAATTCGTCCAAGGGATATGTTAAAGGAGTCCATGGGCTGCTTAGGGCTTAAGCAGCCATATTAGGGTTTCCTAGTTGTAAACCCTAATAGCCTACATGTATATAAAGGACCCTTAATCCCCAAAAACGTGGTGAACTATTCCTTTAGGGTTTCCAGCCGTTTTTGGTGCCTCCTCTCTCCTCCCTCTTCATCTAAGTTGCTTAGTGGTGTTTGTGACTCCATTAGAGGTGCAACACTTGAGGCACTAAGCTTTCTAAAGCCAATCAAAGCAAGGAATTGATTGTTATTACTATATAACAATCAAAGGTAATTACTAAACCCTTATTTCAGTTCTCATATGATAGATCTAGGGTTTATGACTTTGGATTATCAATTGCATGTTCATTAGACAAACTAGATCCAAAGCTATTAGGGTTTGCATGTACACCATATGATTGATGTATTGCTTGAAACCCATCAGACTCAACTCGTCGAGTCATCCCCCTGACTCGTCGAGTTTCCATGCTACTCTCATTCGTGATAAAACGAGTCAACTCGTTGAGTCCTCCCTCAGACTCGCCGAGTTTTGTCCTTTACAAAATCGGGACAAATCGAACCAACTCGTCGAGTTCCTTTATGAACTCGCCGAGTTCTTCAGTCTATTGCTTCATCTTAATGGATTAAGACCCTATTCTTCAGATCTAAGCTCCATACTCGACATATACACTGAAATTGTCCTTTTAAGGGTAAAGTTTCCAACTTTACCCGTTAATAACCTAACTTAATGGATTTAGCTCAAACCCTAACTCTTTAGGACCTAGATCTTGGTCCACAAGCCATCAATACTCCAAACTAAGGCATATACACTGAGATCTGGACCCTAGATACTTCAGAAATATGTAAAGATTCTAAATTTCCTTACATGCATGGCCTTTTGGATCTTAAAAGGCTAAAATGACATCCTAAAGCTTGCATGGGGCTTCAATGGCCATAAAGTTTGCACCTTTATGCCATGAAAGCCCTCCATGGTTCTAGATCTGAAGGTATACTCACTTGGGAAGTCCATTTCCCAATTATCATGCTTCTTGGACCAAAAACTCAATAAAGTGATAATAAGGAGATCTAAGAATTCACTAAGCAATTTTGAGACTTGCTTACTAGAAAATGATGAAAATGAAGTGGTGTGTCTGGATCTACTAGCTTCTTTTTGAGTCATCAAGCTTCTTCTTCTTCCACAAGCTTCAAACATACAAACTATCTCAAGGATGGCTCACAAACTCACACAAGGCATTAGGATTTTGAGATTTAGGATGTGGGACTTGGAGGATGTAAATGAGGCCAACCTTTGGAGGTTAAGGTGTTTAAATAGGGTGCAAAACCCTGAAAATTAGGGTTTCACTCTGCCAGTCCTACTCGTCGAGTTGGGTGTCACAACTCGTCGAGTAGACTTCACATCCCGCGTCCAATTCCATTTCTACTCGACAAGTTTGGGGCCTCCAACTCGTCTAGTTTCTATACAAAAGTGAATAAATCTTTAATTAAATACATACCAGGAACTAGGCCTTACAGAATCCATTCTTATGGATCAATATTTTGAAAGTCCAATTGTTGAAGAAGCTGTCATTCCTTCGGAAGGAGCTCAAGCTTCAAGAAGCTCATTTGAAACACCTAAGCTGGACATATCTAAAGGCAAAAGCAGGCTGCCTGCTCTGAATTGGTTGATGTGGTTCTGCTTCAAAACAGAGTCTTTGATCTAGAATAAAGCTCTGCAGAAAAGGATTTGATAATTGGAAAGCAGGACATTCGTATCAGCGAGCTTGAGAGAGAGAACTCCGACAAAGCTTCAAAGATCTCAAAACTTCAAGCAAATCTTGGTGGTCTAACTACTCTATTCTTTGACCTGAAACAACGCCTATTTCAAAAGTTTGGTGATGAATTTCAACCTTTAAGCGCTGAAGGAGAAAGGATCACTACTTCTAGTTCTGGTCCCGCCAATCCAGCTTCTGAATCATCAAGTGAAAGAACTACAAGACCTTCTCTGGATGCAAATCTTGATACATTCTTATCCTCTGGTCCTGCTTCTGCTCAAGAAAGAAGAGAAAAGCAAATCAGGGTTGAGCAGCTGAAAGGGAATATGCTTGTGATGAAGCATTCAGACCAAAATGCTCCAGGTGATCACCCTGAGATGTTTTTCAGGGAAACTGGAAAGAAGTTTACAGATAAATGTGGGGATCGTTCTGGCATCACCATGTGGGGATATGATGCTGATAAAAAGATGTTGTTCGTGAAGGGGAAAAGTGGAAGAATTGAATATTATGCGAAGAAAGTCGACTTCTTGTCTTGGACAAAAGTTGATCTTTCTAAACTCGTCCACACACCTTTCCACAATCCAACCAATGATACCATGGCCTAGTTCTTTAATAATTTTCTTGAGAGTAAAGCGAAAAATAACTTTGAAGACTTAAAGACTGCTTCATCGTTTACTAAGAAGGCCAAGGGTGTCATTGATCCTCACACAAACAAAACCGTGGTGAATGTCATGTAGCCACCCACAAAGCAAGCTAAAATTATTCATCTTCCCAAATGCTTACCTGAAGGCACTTTGGATACAATACAATTATGGGTTTATGATGAAGCTACTGCATCTGTGGTGATCAAGCTGAAGAAAAACGAGTTTCGTATTGTTGATCCCAAAGATCTGTTGAAATTTGGAGAACGAGATATCCGCACCTTATCAAACTTTCAAATAATTGTTGAGAATGAATTGTTTGAAGTTGTCGCAAAAGCCTTCACTGGAATGGTAGCTACAATAATTAATAAGAAGTTGTGGGCAGGGGATTTTGACCAAGCAGGCATGCCTCTCGTGGAGAAACCTTGAGGAGAACAGAAAGCAATAAACCAATGTGGAGATTGTTGGGCTATATTAAGTGGTTTATGCTTTGCTTTGAATGTATTATATGGTTCTCGGTGGGCTTAGTGTGTTTTTGGTGGGCCTTTTATTGTAACAACCGGCTAAAATAAGTTCACAAATTATATTTTTTAAACAAAAGTGTACATATCATTAACCATAATTCACAAGTTTATATCATACATAGTTAAACGCTATAGGACCGAGCCAGGTTTACAAAAGAAACAATATTTACAAATCAAGTGAAGTTTCAAAAGTTGATTTTCAAAACATGACTACGCCTTCACTGCCTTCCATCGGTCCATATGCATGTAACCTGAAAACATAAATAATCAATAATATGAGCATAATGCTTAGTAAGTCATAGTTTTTGCCATGCTGATACATCATTTCCATCCGATTAATACAAGATGGTATTTCTTAATTATCACATTTGTTTCCTTATCATAACAATAATCTCATATAGAGATTATAATATGATCATTACTCATTGATTATGGAATACTCTTTTCCATAATTTCGGTCATCAATACTAACTTGTCTTTTAATACTAGTCTCGTGTAATCAACTCAATAATCTCATATGGAATGCTCATTTCCATATATTTGATCATCATCACTAATTCATCTTCAAATATAACCTCGTATGATAGCATCTCAATCATATAGTTGATCAATACATTCTCAAACATTTATCTTAATTATTTTACCAATCATCTCACTTGTACACTTGACCTCTCTAATCATATCACTAAATTCTCATTTAATCATCATACTTTCCAAATCCTAATTTAAGTAAACTTTTATCTTTAATCATAACATCTCAACATAATAAAATTAAATAATTATAATAAACTACATAAACAATCAACAATAAACATATATCATTATGAGTAAAAAGGAATTTACTCACCTTACTTATGGTTTGTGAGGATGATACTCCAATAATTTCTCCTCCCTTCCAAGAATCCTTTCTTGATTCGCCTATTTAATAAAGTTTCAAGATCACTAATTATTAAACCATTCATATGATTTGAATTTATGATCATGATCAACATAACATCTTAAAATCTTTAACTCTATGTTTCTCAATTATCTAACATCCATAAATAACTTTCTCATATAATTTTACTATCATATAAATTAATAGTATCATATGTCTTTACCTATTAAGACCATATCTTCCTTTCACAAAAAATTTTACATCAAATATCACACATAATATTCTTCATTCACATGATACTCAAATCAATGGAAATCAACATAATTAGGCTATTTAACCTAAACCCTAACTCATCATCATCAATTAGACATGTACCCTTCATCTAGCGTTTCATCAAAACTAACAAGAATCTTGCTAAAACTTGAAATCAAATGTGTTAAAACAAGTGATTCTTACCTTAATCCACCATTTGGTTGTTTAAATCAAGTGATATCCTCAAGAACTGACTTCTAGGGTTTAATTGGGGGTTTTCCGCACCTTAAGTATGTGTTTTTATGTTTGGGTTCGAATGCCCCTGTTTTAAGACGAAATTATTTTTTTATGGGCTGCCCGGGCTTACGTCGTGAGCATTAGGCTCACATCGTGAGTCTCCTTTTTCCGGACACTTTTGTTTTATGACAAAACGAGGTCCGTCGTAAATAAAATCAGGTATTGTACTTTGCTCACGTCATGAGCACCTCTTTTCATGTCGTGAGATAACAAATTAGGTTACTACTACTGTTCACTTACGTAACTTAATCACCATTCTTTCACTACCACGTCGTGAGCTTCTTTGCTCACGTCGTGAGGTCAGGTTTTTTCTACATTTCACACATTTTTTATTCTTAAACTATCCTTTCAACTATAACATCTACAATGGAATTCTTTTACTCAAGAACACTCATTTAGGCATAATTTATCACAACATATGTCACAATTTACTTTCATAATAAACACAATAATAGTATAAGTCTCGATGCTAAGAAACAGGTATTACATTATGTTTGGGCTTTAGGTTGACGGTTTAGTATATATATAGTCTGTGTATAGCCTTTTGTGGTCAATTCATTTTTGGTGAGTCTAAGTTATTCACGGCTAGAGGGTGATTGAATATACTTGACAATTATCTAATAGAATTGTGTGCATTCATTTGAAATGTATTCTTGATATATTTTATTGGTTGTTTCGTATCAATTTTTGATTAAGATTCCGCATTAATCAAACTATTGCATTGGTACCTTGATAGATCCGAGTTCAGGGACTTACACTTAGTGACCATACACATTCCAAAACCAGATGCACACTTCCCGAATTCTCCATGAGCTCAATAATCCCAAGTACTTCCCATGATACAACTCTAAATCCTTAATCCACCTTGGATTGTGGCATAGAACTATAACCCTTAACCGGAATGGACGGATCATCAATTCAACATCTCACTTGTCGAAGGATCGATGTACTCAAACTTCGCCAAAAGATACCCTCCGATTTCTTTTGACAATCCCAATGACTAAATTAACCCATGATAATTTCCCAATAATTAAGAGTAATACGTTACCACTACTCAATCCCTACTGATGGTAGTAGTCAACAACCTGAGTCTTACAACAGCTAGCTATCCTTGACCAGCCAAACCTAGAACTTCTACATTCCAAGACCGGATGATCATTCCCAATACCTCAATGAATTTCCAGATCCTAAGGTACTTCCTGCTCAATCTACTACAAGTCCTTGGCGACTGATCGGTTGATGAGGACAATATCTCAATATCGAACAAGTAGTCAATCCGTTCAACCACTTACTTGCGCTTAGAGCAATTCCCATGTAATCTGCAACTGACCTCACTCCGAAGGTGTGAACTTGAAAACTACCGATCTTATACCCATGACCGAAACAATTCCTAACCACCTCGAAACCATGAACACCCCTACACATCCTGCATTCAAACCCGACATGCCTACCTTACGTAATACTCACGTCTATTCTAAACACAGCCCACGGTATGCAAAATGGCATATAAAAATTCTTTGAATGATGACTTAGTCAATCATAAAGGGTTCTTGAACCTTAGATGGGGTTATTGGGATCTTCTCAATGTCACAACTTCAAAACCTAGCAGGAGCGATCCATACCCTCTGAAATATGAAGCGCCCAACACTGAACCCCATTTTGAATAAATTGTAGAAATTCCAATATGGTCCTAACAATTCTATCATAAAAAAGATTTATGGTCCAAAGATACAACACTGGACAGGAACATACTTATTCTAGATATAAATATCATTACAGATCTGGGGCTCAACATACATACCAGTCATTTATTGCGGCTCGATCTTGTCCTCTTGTGGGACGATGGGTGTTGGGGCCTGCACCCCCTCTGCTACCCATGCAGGACAGTTGGACTTGAAATGACCCGACCGGTGGCAATGAAAACATATATGATCCTTCGTGCAATCTCAGTGCACATGCCCTCTTTCTCCACATTTGAAACACCTAGACTTGTCACAAGCAAACCCATGAGTTCCCCCATACTTGCCACATATCTCATAGTTCCCCTGACTTCCAGTACCCTCGTCAGTTGCATCGAACCCTCCACCTTCCTCCAATTATTCTGAATCTTGTGTCCGCCTTCTCTTTCCTGGCTGTGCCTCCACATCGATATTTCCTTCTCTAGTAGCCTCAACAATTTCTCTTGTAGCGTGCAAGATTGTGGTTCGCTCCTCGAGTTTGACAATCAGTCTGTCAACGATCTGACCAATGATATCGGGCAACTCCTCCAGTAAAATCTGTGAAACCTCCGTGGCAATCCAGTTATGAAATGTGGCGTCTTCCGTACTGATCACAGAAGACTCCGTCTCCCGTTCAGACATTGGCATACTATATAGGACCAAATTGTCATCCCCATAACCAAAATGTTATCATCAATCAGTCACAATTTAATCACTTCATAAAATTTGTGCACATAACCCCTTTACCGGCTTCTTAGATTTCACGTGACTCTCCTCGAGTCGAGTATGGATCCTGTGTTTTCAGAAGTATGGGCCCATTACCTTCCACACCTATCCATACTTTCCTCAAGAATTATCCTGAATCCTCCAAGTTACCCCCTTATCCATACATATAACCCTCAACAAGATAATGCTCCCAACACCAAATATTTTCCTAGGGCAACCCCCACACTACTCTCCGCCATTAGCTGCAGAAGGAACTCCCCCTAACACCCTCTAACTAGCTCATGAATACAATTACATATCACCGACACTAGATAATTCTTCGAATGAAAAGTCTTACACTACAACGGTTGGACTCAGACAAGAGCTGCGCAAATAGAGTTAAAACATAACCTTCTAAAATTATCTACTCTTAGTAATATGTAACTTAGCATATTCGCTTACTAGTTATCTGAAGTTAATGGGACCTC